CATCCGAGCACAAAGAAGACGTAATGTAACATTATTGACAGAAAAATTTGCACAACACCAATTAATTTTGAATTTACAAGCCCAAATTTTATTACTACACAATAATCCACCTATAAATCCGAACATGGCAGCTGCTGATAGACAACATATTTATCAAACTATTCAAACAAGCCTTGCCCATATTCCATCATATATTGGACAGAAACCGCCAGATGATTATTGTAATAGGATTGAAATAGCCATCAGCTATACTGATACAATGATTGCTGATGCTAATAATGCAAATGCCAATACTTTTACTAATGCACATAAGGCAGATATTTATAAATCAAAAATGGTGGGAAAGTATTTACCAGTTTCACCTCAATATGCAGAAAATAATATTGATACTCCAGCTCGCTTTAGAGTATGGCTTGGAGATACCTATCTACAAAGAACAGTTGGTACTCGTTAGTCTGCTATTCAAAGATTATCTCAAGAAACATTTAAAACTGATGATAATCCAGAAACATATGAAGCTAGAATTCGTCAATATATATTAGGTGTGCCTGATAATGATGCTAATGCTTTGGGATTTCTCATGGCTCATTTATTCAATGAGCTTTTTATTCGAATAGAAGGAACAAATCCTGGTGATATCACAGCTTTCTTTACTATACTTAAAGAATTATGGCTCAAGCGTCAACCATCACTTGGCTCTAGAGGCTTGATTCCCAATCAAATTTCTCAAACTTCAGCTGTTAATATACAAAATAAATCACATTCTGATAGTAGTGATATAACTCAAGCTGAAATAGATATGATAAAATCATAATTAGCTTTAATACCAATCACTTTTCCTCAGTCTACACAACCAACTTCTCAAAGACAAGAAGGACAATTATTACGACTAGTCAAATGGAACCAGGTAAAAAATATAGGGACCCAGACCTACGCTTGAATGACCAAGAATGGCTTCGAATGGATGAAGCAACAGATCGTCTTAGTACTTTAGCAGGTCTATCTACTTTACAATCATTAATGGATACTATTAGTAAAGGAATAATGGATAGAATTATGCCTTTCTTACCCAATAAGAAAAAAAATACTTCTAATGATGATATGGATGAAATTACTAAGGGTATGATAGAATTATCAATAAATAAGGCTATAGCAAAAGGTATTGAAGCAGATGTTAATGCTATTATTAAATCATCCAAACACCATTGTTCGAATTGTAATAGAACTGGACATAATTCTCGCAAGTGTACTCGTAAGAAAAGGTCGAAGAGTAAATCCAAAAAAAGAGGCAGTATTAATAAGGTTGCTGTAGATTTAGGTTCAGATACAAACTCTTCCAATAACGATTCTTCAGATAATAACTCTAATTCTGGAGATTTCTTGTCTGAAGTTGAATCCGATTATAGTTTTGATGTACACTTCTCTAAAACAAAAAAAAACAAGTAAAGCAGAAGGGTAAATCAAATAAATCATTATCTAAAAAGTCTAGTTCAAAGAAGAGACAAAGTCTCGAATCTCTGATTCAACATTCTTCACAAAAAATGCAAAAAAAATCAGGTATGATCATCAACTCACAAATTTAAAAAATTATTCTAGATATGTTTAATAATCCAGAGGTTATAGAAATGATTAAAAACAATATTAATAACATAAATTTATCTGTTACAAGACCTAATTTTATGAATTATCGAGATCCAATCTCAGAAATACCAGAGTCTGATAATGAAGAAGAGACACTGAATGATCCTATGGAAATAGACTTCATCCGCCAGAAAGAACCTGATACAAGTATTGCAACTATACCAGTTAAAATCAAGTGCTTAAAAATTCCAGCAATGGTGATTGATAGTGGAGCTGAACCTGCAATTATATCAGAAGATATTGTTAAACGTGTAGGTGGAAAGATTAATAAATCAGTAATATATGATCTCAGTAGGGCTGCCACCATTTCAACAGAATCTATTGGTATCATACGTAATTTACCAATAACATTTCCTCCAGGTTTTACCATACGTGAAGATTATATAGTTGTGAAAATTCCTAAACCAATATTATTATTTCCAAATCCACACCTTAAAAAATACAAATGTGCTATGGATTGGGACAAAAATGAGTTAAAAATTCCTTTTAATGGAAAAGATCACATCATCCCCATAACTATGATCAAGGTTAAGAACAAGCTCGAAGTAAATTGCACAACTCTAACCCAAGATAGTAAGTCTTTATCATCAGATCAAATTTTACAGTAGTGGCATAGCTCCATTGCAAAGTAATAATGATGAGAACGACAATCTATCTTTAAAAAAAAATGCATGAGCTATGAGGAACTGGAAAAATCGCTATATGAGGTACTTGCATCCAAGGTGAAATTAATCAAACTTAATAAAAAATTGTGAACTCATATAAATAAATCTGGATATTTAAAATGAAAGAATACCAATATAGAGAAAGCAAAGATAGATTAATTGATTTTTAAAATTCTTTCTGATTCATGTTCTGTTTCTTTTATTTCTTTACGATCTTGCTCAATTAAAGCATATAAGTTACTCATCTTATCTATTTTAGGTAAGTTAGAAATCTCAGGTTTTGATTTTTTTTTTTATCCGTTTATCAGAAGCAACAATAGAATTTTCTACAGAGTGTGTAATATGATTTATAGTTTGTGTTTTTTTACTTATGTCATTTTTATCAGTATAAGTGTTTTAATCAATATTTGATTGCATTAGTTTTGTTAATGAGTATGATTCAGGTGTAGGCTCTTCAAGGTATTGTCCTGCAATAGATAAATTTTGATTTGAAACTATCATTGTATCCTGTATCAGTTGATACCATTCAACCATACAAACTTCTTGCCCTCTCCAAATTTTATAAAAACGGTTATTTGTCATAGGATATCTTTCTCTTAACTTTTTTAAAATATCAGTTTTGGGCTTTGCATTGCGATATTGTATAATAAACTTATAATCTTCTGAAGATAATGTAACTGTATCAGACTGTATACGTTTAATCATGTTAACTTTAAAAAATATTTATATGTGTATTATGTGTAATACTAATATCAATAAAAAATATATTAAAAAAATATTTATACAGGTAGGATGCATAATATCTGTAATTAGTATGCGTAGTACTTGTAGTATCTGTAATTAGTATGTGTAGTATACATACAGTATATAATAAGCCATTGGGGTAATCATGTTGCACAAAATGGTAGTGTCAATTCAGTACTTTCCTTCAAAGCTTCTTTATTCACTAACCAATAGAAAATTGTTATATGGATTTGATAAGATGGAGTACAATCCAATCTGTATATCCAAATAAGTGGTTATTTGTGAAAGTTAATAAGAATTAGTTAAGATAAAGTATAGTCCAATCTATATATTCAAATATATGATAATACCTTACATTAAATAATCATTGTAATACTATCCAAACAATTATTGTACCACTACATCTTAACAAAAAGATTACAATCTCAATGCCTGCTGGATCAGCATATGAAATGGCTTCTTATAAAAAATAGTATATAATTGATTATGGTGCCAGATATCCTATCAATTCTATTCAATTGCCTTTATATAGAATTGAACTGTATCTTATAATCTGACCTGCAAAGCATTAACCACTATGCTATAGGCCCATAGGTCTTTAATAAACTTTTTATTTTATTAGAAATATGATTTTATATATTAAGTAAATATAATATAAACAATTAAATATATATATAATGAAAGTTTTGCTAATTTATAATAATATTTTATTATTAGTATTTAGGATTTACATTTCATACAATAATTTTTTTAATTTTAATTTTGAATATTATATTCATATTATTTTTATAACTAGTGTTTTAACAAGTAATCTATAATTAATTAATATTGTTTATTAGGTTTTTAATTACTTACAGTATCAGTTATAAGTAACTATATCATCTTTAAAAATTCAAATCTAATCCAATTGTTTTAAAAATGCTAAGACAAATAGTTTATCACAATTTCTAATCCTCTAAAATTTTTTAGATTTTTGTAATTGCTAAAACAAAATTTAGATGAGAAGCAAATTTTAGAGAATTTTTTTTAACAAATTTTTTTTAACTTAAAAGTTATTAAAAAATGATCCATAGATCAATAATTTATATAATCAAAAATTCTCAAAAAATTATATATTAAAATCTAGGTCTTTTATATTATTGACAAAAAATTTGACATATTTTGATAAGACAGTTTTCAAAAAATTGATTTCTAAATTTTAAATTTGCTGTATTCAAAAAAATAGCTTCCTGAACACAGTTTTTATCAATTTACTATATTATTTATTATAAAAAATATTAAAAATTAATAAATTATATAGTAAAATTGATAAAAACTGTGTTTGGAGAACTATTTTTTTGAATACAGCAAATTTAAAATTTAGAAATCAATTTTTTGAAAACTGTCTTATCAAAATATGTCAAATTTTTTGTCAATAATATAAAAAGACCTAGATTTTAACATATAATTTTTTGAGAATTTTTGATTATGTAAATTATTGATCTATGGATCATTTTTTAATAACTTTCAAGTTAAAAAAAATTTGTTAAAAAAAATTCTCTAAAATTTGCTTCTCATCTAAATTTTGTTGTAGATGTAACGTTAACCTATAAATGATATAAAAAAATTAGTTTAGTATTACTCTTTTTGTGTACAAAATTTTATGGTGTCATGTGCCATTTTCAGAAAGTTTAGGTCAGTCAACGACATATGAATTCCATTGTATATATTATTAAATTATATATATTTATATTAAATATTTAAAAAGTTATTTGATAAATAAAATTACTATTAACAAAAAATAATTCAAAATTATTATTATAAATTTAAAATTATAATTTCTTATAAAAGTTTTTATTTTATTATATATATGTAAATTGATTTTAATAGAATAAGTAAATATATTTATTATAATTAATTCTATCTATTAATAGTAATTCTTACAGTCTTAAAGGACAAAAAAATAATTATCTATACAGATAGTCAAAGTTGTATCAATACCTTTAATTTAATATCCAAAGTCAACTTTAAACAAATCTATAAAAGATAGCTTAAAATCAATAATTGATATATTTGATATAACATTTTTGAAATCTTAAACAAGAAGAATATTAGATTTAATTTCAATAAAGTTAAAGTACATTCTGATAATATATATAATAAAAATGTTGATCAACTTACCAAACAAGCCATTCAACTATTAGCAATTATATGGATCCTAACTAGCAACAGATATATATAAATAATTACTACTTGATATAATAAACAATCGATATAGCTTCCAAAAACTTTATTAAAAAAATCAATAAAACAGTAAACCTGAAATATAAACTGAAACAAAGAAATACAACATCTACTTGATTGCCAAATTAATCAAAAAAAAAGTTTGCTTAGAAGCAGTTTTAGAGTAATATCAAGCTAAACAGATTAATCATATTCTTTAAAGAATGCAAAAAGAAAAGCTTTTGGATTAAATTAATACATAATGAGCTATCAATACTAGACAAACTTGAAACAAGAAAGCCTTGACTATATGAAATGCATAACAATTGCAGAGTTTACAATACAAAGTCTAAAACCAAAGATTATCTTTTTATATACTTAGCATTAGAAGAATTCATTAGTAAGGCCTGGCTCATAGCTATGGAAAAGCTCGAAAAAGATCTTAAAAAATTCATTAAAAGCTTGTCAAATACATTGTATACTATTAATATAGAGCTACTCATACTTTACCTGACTTAAAAAATTTTTAGGAAAAAAAATAAGAGGTTGAATTTTGTAACTGAACTAATATTAGAGATCTTAACTACAAAAGTATAAAATTCGATAAATATAAAACAAGTTATTTAATTCAGAACATAACAACTTCTTTGTAAGTTTATTCTAAACTTTCAAAAAAACTTTAAAAAGCTAATGTGAAAACATAAATATGATATAATAGTGAGAACTGATCAAATTCTGGATCTAAATTTAAGAATTAAAAAGGCCTTAAAACAATCTGAATATAGGAAACAGCAATTATGTGAGTCAATACTATCAATAGAATATAAGTCAAATGTTGAATTGAAAAATCTTATGCAAGGATCTTTAATAAAATCAAGTTTTACCAAAAATCAGTTCTCAAGTAATCAAGACAAGAAAAAGAAAGAAAGAAAGAGAAAGGTGACATTCAATATAAAAATATATATAATTAATATGTAAATTTATAGAATGTGATAAAAAATAGTTAGCATTAAATTAAAAATCTGATCTGAATTTATGGTATATAATCTTTAGAAATAATCTGCAGACTATAACTCAATTAAGCAAAAGGATTCTTAATTTCAATTAATAAATAAGCAATATATCATTTCCATAAATTGTATTTAAAAACTTAATGTTATAGATGAGTGAGTTAGATTGAGAAGATTTATATATGCAATTGTAATTGTAATGGTTTACTATGATTTAATAAATAAATGACTTTAGCCTGATTGAGGATTTAAAAATAAAAAAAAAATAATAATATATTGAAATTTGTTAAATACAATATAATTATTATTTTTGCAGGTAATAACTTTATTAAGTAAAAGAAATCTTAATAAACAAGCAATATATTATATCTATAAATTACATTTAGAGACTTAATGTTATAGACAGGTAAGCTGGGTTGAGAAAATTTATATATACAATTGTAATTGTAACAGTTTATTAAAAATTTAATAAATAAATAACTCCAGTTTGATTAAGGGTTTTAAAATATATACTATATATATAATAATTATTAAATTTTTACAAAGTTTTTAAATAAATATTAAATGGCATAAATAGAATCAAACAATAAAACTTCATTATATATTTTTATTAATAATTTTACAAATATAATAATTTCTTGAAATTTTTAAATCTTAATCTAATTTTTAAAAAGAAAATTTTTTTTTTAAGATCTTAATTGTATTGTAGATAGGAATACTTAATTATATGGGCTTGTACAAATATTTCAATATTTTCCTGATATAATTTTTATACAATATTTAACAAGTTTATGATATTAATATGGTTAATTGAAATAAAAATAAATAAATAAATATTTTTATACAATTATTATAATTTTTTATAATATTAATATTTATTAAACAAATTACTTCTTGCATATTATAATTAACTTTAACAAATGGAAGTATATTTGAAAAACCAATATTGTTTATATTTATTTTTAAAACATTTTTTGCAAAAAATAAAGAATAAAGAATAATCTACTTATTTTTAACAAGTTTTTCTTGAATAATTTTATTTTATAACTCTTGCAACTAACATTAGCACATCCGAGAACTTCATGAA